TAGGAACCACAAAAGATCCCAAACAGTCAAAGCAACCCTGAGCAAAAAGAACAAAGTACCACATTACCTGACTTCAAAGCACCTTACAAAGCTATAGTAACTAAATCAGCATGGTATTGGCATTAAAACAGACAACACAGATCGATGGAACAAAATAGAGAACCCAAATATAAATCCACACATTTACAGCCAATTCATTTTTTTTTTTACAAAGGCACCAAAGACAAACAATGGAGAAAGTCTCTTCAATAAATGATGCTGAGAAACCTGTCTAATCATCTGCAGAACAAATGAAAATAGACACTTACCTCTCATCAAATGCAAAACTCAAAATTGATTACAGGCTTAAATTTGACACCTGAACCTATATAACTACTTGAAGAAAACTTTGGGGAAATGTTCCAAGACATAGGTCTGGGCAAAGATGTTTTTTGTGTAAGACCTTAAAAGCATAGGCAACAAATGCAACAATAAAAAACAAAATGGAATTGAATCAAGTGAAAAACCCTCTGCATGGAAAAGGAAACAATTAACAGAATGAAGAGACAACCCACAGAATGGGAGAAAAAAAAAGTTTGTATATATATCCATCTGGCAAGAAATTTATGAGAATGTATAAGAACACAAACAACTAAATAGCCAAGAAACAATCTGATTTTTAAATGAGCAAAAGATTTAAAAAGACATTTAAAAAAGACATACAAATGGCTAATAGATATATAATAAGATGCTCGACATTACTAATTATCAGAGAAATACAAATTAAAATCACAATGTGAGATAGCTCACTCCAGTTAGAACAGCTTTTATCAAAAAGGGAATAGCAGATGCTGGCAAGGTTGTTGAGAAAGGAGAACCCTCATTACGTTGTTAGTGGGAATGTAAGTAAGTACAGCCACCATGAAAAACAGTAAGGAATTTCCTTACAAAACTAAAAATAGGACTGCCACATGATCCAGCAATTCCACTACAAGTATGCAACCAAAAGAAGGGAAACCAATACATCAAAGAAATATCTGAATTCCTATGTTTATGACAGCCCTATTCACAATAGCCACACTAGGGAATCAACCTAGATGCTCACCAGTGGATAAATGGACAAAGCAAATGTGATACACAAACACACACACACACACACATAGAGGGAGAGAGAGAGACAGACATATACACACAGAGAATGAGAATAGAATATTACTCAGCCACTAAAAAAGAATAAAATTCTGTCATTTTCAGCAACATGGATGGAACTAGAGGTTATTTATGCTAAATGATCATAGCCAAACACAGCATGTTCTCATTTAATATGTTGGCTAAAAGAGTGGATCTCATGAAGATAGTGGATTTTGGTTACCAGAGAACAGGAAGGGTAAGTGAGGGTATAAATAAAGGTCAATTAACGAGGTTATGGAAAAAAACAAGACCTAGTATTTGAGAGATGAGTAGGGTGACTCTAGTTAATATCTATTCTACACTTAAAAAATAGGAGAGAACAATTTGAATGCTCCTAGCATAAAGAAAAGATAAATATTTAAGGTGATGAATATCCCAATCACTCTTATTTGATCTTTGCACATATTTGAATGTATCAAGTTACCACATGCACCCCAAAACACATACATCAATATATATTAATAAAAAATGAAAGAAATAGGTATATCAAGTACATCCTAGGGTTTCAGTACAGGTGTATATTAAATAACTGAGTGCAAAACTATGATCCATACAAACTGAGGAACACTATTGGGCAGTTGTATTTTTAACAATGACATCAATGTTTTTGTGGTGAAATATGAACTGAAAACCTTAAAAATTATCCACCAGATAATGTGAATAAAGGATGCCATCCTTATAATAGAAACTTTGCAGAATTTTGAAATAACTTAATCATTAAGCTTTGCAAATACTGTAGTGTACAAGCTTATATCATAAAACCAGAGGCAGTTAAGAGCTGAAAGTACATGGTAAATAAAGGGGCAAAATAGAAGACAGAAACAAATCAGTGAGGCAAAGAGTTTACAATGAAAGTACAATGAGTAGGTGAAATTACAATTTGTATCTTTTTAACTGTCAGCATTTCAACATTTAGTACACCAAATTTAGCAAAACATTCAATACACTTTCAAAAATGACAAAAGCCACTGTGTACCTACAGATCTATAATTCTAGGGATGAGCACCATGGAAAATAATAGCTTTTATGTACCATTCCTAAAGATTGTCAATTTTCCGGGGTGCAAATCATGTCAAGGATGTCTTTTACTAAATTCTTTGCGGTAAAGTTTTGCTAAAGTTGGAAATAATTGCTGTTAAATCCTAGTTCCGATAAATCATTGTGGTAGAGTGTGAGGTTTGAAAATAATGGAGAAGGACCATTGTAATTCCTAACCTGTAAAAGAATATCAAAACTCCAATTCCCAGAAAAGGAAGCAGGGACTGAGTGATTTAATGACTTAGTGAGTGTCATCTAATAATAGGAAATACAGAATTCAATCCCAGGCATGTCTAATCTCAAAGCAAGGACTTTTTCCCACTATACCTGCCACACGGCCAGAATGTTCTTACACTTCTTACGTGTTATTAAATTGTCAAAGGACTCCTGAATCAAAACTGTGCAGGAGATATTGAAATTGCCTCTTAAACCACTAGATTACAGAACAGTTTGAATAGCCACACCAAAAGATAGAAAATATTCACCATCAAATTGTATTGTTTTCTCTTCAAGAATTCCTGTGTGGTACCTATCTATTCGTTCTCTCTCTGTCCCTCCCTCCCTTTCTCTCCCTCCCTTTCTCTCTCTCTCATTCATACATAGATAATCTCTAATAGTCTCATACTGAAAGTGCTCGGCATCAAAATCGGCATTTCTAGCCTATCTAAATAGACACAACTGATTGAAAACTCAACAAATCTACATCCATCCTCTCCTCAACAATTTCTCACTGAGGAGAGAGGGATGGGAACCTTGAAAAAAATATTTTTTTGGAGTGGAGGCCTTGACAGTTTAAAAACATTTGTGTTTCTCAATGTCTCTTGGCATCAAGCTCCTCGTATCCCCAGAGGGCTGATTAAAGGAAAATACTGTCTTTTTTCATAAAGAATAAAACCAGGAATTTCAGAGTTTATGGCTCTATGTAAATATTAAATATATCAGCAAACATTTATCACACTACAATCTAGAACACTGTTATAGTGTGTTTAGTGAAAACATATGCCAAATAATGAGAAGAGATAATTATCGATTTCATTTTTTTCTACCCATTAGCAAATACTTGTCTATAATGTAGGAATTATAATCTGGATTCTGCCAGCATAAGACATAGCAGATATGGTAAACTTGTCCACTCACAGTTAACGTCTCCCTCTTTTTTACTAACATATTCCGAATTTGTTCTAGGTGGCCCTGTGCCCAGTTCAAGTATTTGCCTTCTGGGACTCCTTTTTAGTGATGAGTAGCCATGTAACATGGGTAGCAGACATCTACTGGTGATGGGGGGCTTATGGGAAAAATCTCCATTATCCTGATGAAAAATGGTAGTCATGGCCAGGTGCAGTGGTTCAAGCCTGTAATCCCAGCACTTTGGGAGGCCGAGACGGGCGGATCATGAGGTCAGGAGATCAAGACCATCCTGGCTAACAGGGTGAAACCCCGTCTCTACTAAAAAAATACAAAAAATTAGCCGGGCGTGGTGGCGGGCACCTGTAGTCCCAGCTACTTGGAAGGCTGAGGTAGGAGAATGGCGTAAACCCGAGAGGCGGAGCTTGCAGTGAGCCAAGATCGCGCCACTCAACTCCAGCCTGGGCGACAGAGCGAGACTCCTTCCCCCCCAACAAAAAAAAATGGTAGTCATACTGATATGTCCCTTTTACCCTTTTCTGTGTTCATGGCAGCTATCTAAAAACCATTAGGATGACAGACCCATGCTAAAGATGACAGAGGAAAACAAAAACATGAGTCTGGCCTTGTGAAGGGGATACTCCAATCTTGATTTATTTCCTTATTCCCTTCCTAGACATTTTATTGGGTGAAAAAAGCCCAATTTGATAAAGTTTTACTATATGAAGTTACATTTGATCCCTAAAGTGATTTACATGATACTCAGCAAGATCAGGTATCAGTCATTATCAGTGATTCTAGACCAACCTGAGTGGCAATTCAGGTGATAGTTTGCAGAACTCATTTCTATTTTATTTGATATTTTTATTGATTACCTAATTAAATGAATCAAAATTCGATAATTTTATTTGTAAACAAAAATGATACAGTCCCATAAAAACATAATGGATTCAAAAGGGGTAGAAATATCAACAAATAAGTCTTAATAATAAAGTTGGTAATTTACAGTAGCAAAGAAATAACTAGAGTAGAACATTTTTGTAAATCATTAGGTAAATGTGATTATTACTGTGGTTCTGGAGTTAACAGCTAACCATATTAACCAGGCTATTAAGTTAAATATGCCTTAGTATTACATGTAGGGGTTGGAACATAATTCTTCCATCCTAATTTGCATTACTTAAACAACTCTTATACAGTATATGTGCGTATTTGATCATTCTATTTTAAAGAAATGCTGAGAAATTAGGCAGCATCCAGAGGAAGTGACAGTGACATAATGACTAAAGGGCTGAAAAGTAAGTCTTACAAGAAAAGGTTAAAATAATTGGCATTTAGCCTGGAAAGCAGCAAAATGATTACTACCCTCAAATTGTATGTTAAGTCCTTTTTTTTTCTTGATGTGATACTGAGGTAGACTGAGAAAACAAAAACGAAAAACAACGGAGTAACCTTTCAGAAGGCTCTCACCTATTCAATACAAATGTGTAGTTTTTGAAAGCTACTATGAGCCAGGCCCCGGACCAGGTAAATAAATCATGGTTCTTTCCATTAAGAATTTCACAGACTTATACAGGATTAGGATGGTTGTATTCCTTAGAATAAAGGCTAAGTTGCTTTTACAACTTAGTATTATAAAACTGGATTTTTTTTTTTTCATTTGATAGTCCAGCCAGTCAAGAGCTGGTGAAGTAGACCTGCTGTAGAAGGTGTGAAGACCCAGTCCTCCCTCCACAATTCTCCACCCTTGAAAGGTCGTGTGCGTGTCTGTTCACCCACGAAAGAAGAAGACACCAAATGGATGGCATCGATTTCATCTTAAGTAAGTGAGGAGTAAGTTACCATTAAACTCAACATTCCATTGTTCTGAATTTAGTCATATTAGCATGCCCAGGTGCAAGGAGGGTTGGGAAATATTGCCTCTAGCTGGGCAGTCATATGTTCAGATACAATCATTCTATTATGGAAGACAGAAAAATGTTGGGAAACAACTAACAGTTTTCTACACATATGAAATATTGGCATCTCAGTATTTTCATTCTTAAAAATTATCTGGAGAGCAACCAACAATGCTGCTGGATAATTAAGTTATACATTTTCTAAAATCAGAAGGGCGAGAAGAGCCAACTCTCTAGCTCTTGCATACACTATGGTATGTATAAGCGTTGGAGTTGTTTTTTAGTCATTTCTGACTACTCGTTTTTAAAATCTTTTAGTCCCTGAGTATTTCTATCTGTGCAGATGTATAGACAATCTGAAATTTTTGAAATTTTGTAAGTGCAGCATAAAATCAAAGAAGGAAGTTGGTCTTGGGCCTCTATCTTCACCCATTTGCTATGAGGTTTCTGGTCCTGGGGAAATCTTTTCCCTAAACCATTGAAGAGTTCAAGTTGTGATTCTATTCATCTCTTCTCATGCACAAAGCACTTCAGTCACCATATTTTTATCATCTAATTAAGCTCTACCATAAAATTTTATTGAAATCTCTCTGTAATAATTATTTTTCATCTACACATTTTTTGTATTTAGTTTAAATTAATCTTCTCTACAACATCCTGTCTGATCCTGACATTGTAGGCAGTGCGCTGGCAAGGTCTTACATGATTTAATAACATTGCCTGGCTCAGGATGAATTTAGTTCAGTTCTTACAGTTCAAGTTCCATAAAGCATTGTAACAACTTGATAGTATATCGCAAGACTGTTAAAATAATCAGTCAGCGTGGTGGTTCATGCCTGTAATCCCAGCATTTTGGGAGGCTGAGGCGGGCGGATCACCTGAGGCTGGGAGCTGGGGACCAGCCTGACCAACATGGAGAAAACCCTGTCTCTACTAAAAACACAAAATTAGCTGGGCATGGTGGCGCATGCCTATGATCCCAGCTACTCGGGAAGGCTGAGGCAGGCAAACCGCTTGAACCTGGGAAGCAGAGGTTGCGGTGAGTCAAGATCGCACCATTGTACTCCAGCCTGGGCAACAAGAGCAAAACTCCGTCTCAATAATAATAATAATAATCAGTCCAAAATCCAGGCTCTCAAGAGTCCTTCTAATCAAATTGTTTGTAATTTATTCGTGAGTAGACATAATTTGAAATAATAGATCACATCCTGCATCATCCTGTAAGTGTTGTTATATTTTGCACATTAATATACATGTCCTTTAACTTACTCTATAACAATTGGAGATAGAAATTCTTTGAAACATCACAAATATTTGTTATTAGATTAAATAAATGAACAAATATTTATTAGATCTATTGAGTGATTAAATTTCATTTTATCTACCTGTAAAATTTTCAAAAACAATTTTATTCACAAAATACTCTTTCGCATCAAATGGTCAATTAATTTGACTAAATAATTTTTTTAATAAAAATATTCTAGTAAGTTCAAACAAAATTAATTTGACTGCTTTTTGTCCTGATTGATCGATTAGTCATTTGAGCCAAGGTATTCATATTGATTTCATGTTTAGTTAAAGCCTGTGTCTCCTAGAGTCCGAGTTCTACTAACGTCCGTCTAATAAAATCATTACTTACACAGTCTTAATATACTGAGACTCAAATTATGTAGTACAAAATAATTTAGTCAATCAGATATCTGTGGCTAAAATATGGTATCCTGAAACTTTACATATTCGGAAATTATAGCCTTAACACTTGTAAGACTATTTTAAATAATCACAGAAAATAAAATGTAATATTATGGATATATAACTAAAACCATACATAAAAAAAATTTGCCTCTTTATGCAAAACTTAAGTGATTCTTTGCAAATTTATTTGGTTATTTTTAATATAACTATAACAAATTTTCAAATAATTGACTCAGGTCTGTCTGTACAATATCCAGAATATGTGACTGCCACTCATTTTCCCCATCTTTTTGATTGACAGTTGCCTAGACTAATGCCAATATGATTGGATTAATTCTAGGTTTCAATGCCAACTCTATAAGTAACTGCATTTTTACATTTCTGATACTGTAACAAATGGAAATATGGAAAACAGTACATCTGAAGCATAGCAAGACATTTAAGATGATTTACTATAAAAACCTCAAGTTTAAGCTTTGAATATCAGCAAAATTAAGATAAGTTTATAAATGATTAAAAATAATTATAACCATTGCTAGTAAGAAAGAAAGTGTTTAGTCATGAACTAGAGAGGTCTACCCTATTCAATATTGTTTCTACCTATGGAGACTTTATAGGCATACTAACAAAATTCTTGATAAGGGATGCGAATTTTAAAATGCACTATATTTTCATATGAAGATGTCAAAATACCTTCAACGTCTTTTGTGCTTGTTGACAAAAAGAGTCAAACTCTAAAATATTTTTAGAGATTTATTTTGAGCCAAATATGAGTGACCATGGCCCATGACAAAGCCCTCAGGAGGTTCTGAGATCTTGTGCCCAAGGTGGTTGGGGTACAGGTTGGTTTTATATATTTTAAGGAGGCATGAGACATCAATCAAATACATTTAAGAAATACATTGGTTTGGTTCAGAAAGGTGGGGCAACGCACAGCAGGGGCTTCCAGGCTGTAGGTAAACTTAAGCATTTTCTGGTTGACAATTGGTTGGGTTTGTCTGAAGACCTGGGATCGATAGAAAGGAAATGTTCAGGTCGGGCACGATGGCTCATGCCTATAATCCCAGCACTTTGGGAGGCCGAAGAGGCAGGTCACCTCAGGTCAGGAGTTTGAGACCAGCCTGACCAACATGGTGAAACCTCATCTCTACTAAAAATACAAAAATTAGCCCGGCATGGTGGTGGGCACCTGTAGTCCCAGCTACTTGGGAGACTGAGACAGGAGAATTGCTTGAACTCGGGATGTGGAGGTTGTAGTGAGCCAAGATCGTGACACTGCACTCCAGCCTAGGTGATAGAGTGAGATGAGAATTGCCTGAACTAGGGAAGTGGAGGCTGTAGTAAGCCAAGATCATGGCACTGCACTCCAGCCTGGGTGACAGAATGAGACTCTATCTCAAGGAAATATTCAAGTTAGGATAAAAGATTGTGGAGACCGAGAGACCAAGGTCCTTTTGAAGTCTTATAGTGGCTGCCCTTAGAGACAGTAGATGACAAATATTTCCTATTTAGATATTTGTTTGTTTGTTTGGAGACAGAGTCTTGCTCTGTCAACAATTCTCCTGCCTCAGCCTCCTGAGTAGCTGGGATTACAGGAGTGCATCACTAAACCCAGCTAATTTTTCTATTTTCAGTAGAGACAGGGTTTCACCATGTTGGCCAGGCTGGTCTCAAACTTCTGACCTTATAAGCCCCACCCACCTCAGGCTCCCAAAGTGCTAGGATTACAGGCATGAGCCACCATGCCTGGCCTCCTATTTAGATCTTTAAAAGGTACTAGACTTAATATCTTAATCTCTTCAGGATTGGGAGGGCCTGGAAGGAAAAGATCTAGCTATGTCAATGGAGATTCTTTACAGACGCAGATTTTCCCCCACAAAGCTTAGCTTTGCAGGGCCATTTCAAGATATGGCAAGGAAACGTGTTTGTGGTAAAATATTTTGATTTTTTTCTTTGTTATGCCAGAGTCAGATTGGAAAGTAAGTCATGATATACAGGGTTAAATAAAACTCATTCTGATGAGAATTTATGGTTTGTGAGAATTTGTGACTCACCAGACCCCTTAGATAGGAATTTGGGCAAAACGAAAAAAAATATCAGAGATGAGTCCTTACGCTGAATCCAATAAATCAGTTGCTAAGACTTCAACTTTTCCCCAACATCAGTCCAATTTAGGTATTGTTCAGAACCAACAATTGACAATAAAAGACTTTAAAATGTAAATGGACATTTTCTAAATGAATAGAAGTACAATATCTCAAACCGAGATGAAGCATGATCACACTCTACTTTCATTGGGAGTTTATGACTGAAGTTTTTATTACAAATGTTGAAGCTTACAGCAAATTACATGGTAAACTGACTTACACAAGGGAAGATTCACGAGGCATGTTAATGCTACAGGAGAGAAGATTTGAGGAGGAACCTGAAAAGAATGATTCCTTTATTCTCACAAGAATGAGAAACTCCAGATTGATATAGAAGCCATTTAACAGAAATGTAAATTTTATGAGAAAACAGCTGAAATTACAATATTTATCAAGCTATGTGATAACTTGCTTATTCTGAAGTAGTAGAAGAAATCATGAAAAACTGTTGATAGTGTTCTATGTTTCAAAATATTCTATGCTCTTTAAAGATACATAAATAAACATAACACATAAAATGGGAAAATACACCATGTACAAGTAGTTAATGTTACATAGAGAGCTCAAACTATACATGTTCTAAAATCCTAAGACATAGAATAAAGCAATTACAATGTCTTGTCATAAAGTCCATAATAATATCTAATGATTCTTTGTATTTCTGTGGTTGTTTCCTTTTTTGTTTGTGCTTTTATTTGGGTCTTCTGAGTTTGTTTGTTTGTTTGTTTTTAATATGGCAAAAAGTTTCAGTTTTGTTTATCTTTACCGTCCAAAAAAAAAACAAAAAATGCAAAAGTGCTTTTGTTGTGTCACCTCTCTTCTGTATTTTATGATCTCAATTTCATTTATTATTGCTGTCATCTTTATTTCTTGCCTTGTACAAATTTGGTTTTGGTTTGTTTTTGCTTTTCTGGTTCCTCGAGTTACATCATTAGGTTGTTTATTTGAAATATTTTAACTTTGTAACGTAGGCATTTATTGCTGTAGACTTCACTCTTAGTGCCAATTTTACTTTATCTTATAGATTTTAGTATGTTGTGTTTAGATATTGATTTGTTTCAATATTTTAACATTTCATTCTTAATTTCTTCATTGACCTATAGGTTATTCAGGAGCACGTTGTTTAATTCCCATGTGTTTTTCTAGTTTATAAGGTTCCTCTTATTAATTATTAGTAGTTTTATTTTCTATGGTCTGTAAAGACACTGGGTATGATTTCTACATTTTTGAATTTATTCACCTCTCTACGTCCCCAGGAACTTACTCATTCTTACATTTGAGTTGTGGGATATTACTGGTAATAATCTTGGTGATAGATATTTGTTTTTGATTTTCTGTTCTGGGGAGTGAAGCAAGCTTGCTTCTCCACCACCATTTTGGAAAGGAAGAGCACAGATATTCTTTAGAAAGTATGAGAAATTGTTATAAGGTCTATGCTAAGCAATACTATAATACGATTATTGGATTAGTATTAGGAGACAATTCTCCACAGGTCTGTTTTACTTCTGTGCACCTTGTGAACAGAAACAGTGATAGTCTTTGTTCCAGATAATATTTGCAAGGATATTTTTCTAACAAACAGTCTTGGAAGATAGAGATGGTCTTTTTTACTGCTTATAGGGAAAAAGGTGTTTTTCTCCAGGGCAAAAGGCAGTTATGCCCATTGCACATTATAAAACAATTAGATTTCTTAAATTCAGTGTTGTTCTCCTGTAACAGAGCCCACCGCATGTGCAGGTGTCATCTGCCCCTTTTCATGTCACCTATGATATTTGGGATCTGAGGAACTGATATAAGAAAAATGATATGTCCTAGCTATTGCTATTTTTAAGTAATAAACTGTCATTTGTCCCTGACCCAGGAGTCTCATGTGTTCTGCCAGCATCCATGGCAGACTAACGTGTTAGGTTGCAAATAGGGTAAAACCCAAGTTTTTCACATTTGAAATACAGACAATAGAATGTGTTTAGAAAGAACAGGAACTTCAGAATCAGACTATTTCACATTCAAATTTGATCTCTGCCTCTATGTGATCATAGGTAAGTCTAAAAACTTTTCTAAGTCCCAATTTTCTCACCTGCAAAATGGAGGATAATAATGCCTAACTTTTAATATTTATGAGACTATTAACAGAAAGCACAAGTAACATGCTGATATTTTGCCTGACACATAGAAAAATATAATTAATGCCTATCTTTGTCTTTCCCTCTTTTTTTCTTCCCCAAATCTATGTTAGTAATTCTACTCAGGAATATCAATCAGCAGAAGATTAACTTGCAATTTATAAAAGCATTTATTTTGTATTAGTCTCTCTATCACCTGACAGGATGGTCAGCCAAGATCTGCAGCTGCACTGCCTGGCAGGTGAGACTGTAGCCTGGTCATCTAGTTAAGAGCTTTCTAATCATTAATGAATCAAGTCCAGAAATGTTCCTATATAGTGTTAAGATAATTGGCAAAAGTGTCTGGAGAGAAATGATTGGGCAGCATCTTAGTAAAGCTACTCTGGCAAATCGAAGATAAGAAGGAAGAATGTATTTGCTCTTTTCTTTTTTTTTCTTTCCTTTTCTTTTCTTTCTCTGCCTGCCCCCTCCCCCTCGCCCCCCCACCGCTCCCTGCCTAGGGGTTTTCTTATCTTAGAAATTTATCTGAGGCAAATTTCTCAGCAAAATTGTCTGAAGCAATTGTCTCTTTCTCTTCTGTCTCATCATTTTCAAAAGACCTGGATATGGTTCAAATGATTCTTCCATCTGTTTCTTCTCATTCCATGACCTCAATCCTTTTCCTTAGAGTTATATCTCCCTTGAACACTCATTACTGCCTGGGAACTGACTCAAGGTTGCTTGCCTCCCTCTGAGTTGGTGATCGTGCTGTGCCAGGTTCTCCTGAGAGCAGGGAGGTTGTGTGAGTGCTGTTCTGACAGTTTCCGGGCAACCATTTGTGACTCTATCTGGGTCTTACTCCCAGAATTCCATGTGTTCACAGGCCAGTTTATGTCATTTGCCTTCTAGAACAAGGCTGGGGCATATTATGTGGAGAAAAAAGTGACCACAGAAAAGAAAATATTTATCAATAGGAAGATAGTCAATTATGTAATATGCCCCTACTGCTAGATGTTTGTTGTTGTTTTCTCAAGTCTTATTGCTATCATAAAAAAGTATTGTAATGAATTACCACTTACATATATCACGTTGTATACATGCATAGAAATTAGCAGAATCAATTCTTAGGAGTAGAGGCTGATAAATCAACAGTGAAGGCATTTTTATTTTAATGGTCGTTCTCAAGTTGTCTCCACAGGGTCTCACTATTTTACACCCGATAGCAACATATTAGAGAAGTTACTTTTTTCACAAACCTGCCAATAGAGTTGTACATTTTAGGTTCTTGTCATGTCTATTATAGATTAAAAATTATCTCTTGGTATAGTTTTGGGTTTGTTATTCCTTTGTTCTGATCCCAAAATCAGATTTACTCTGAGATTGACTAGGCTTTCATATATTTAAGGGACATCTGTTTT